CAATTATACCAAGAAAAGCACTACCCAGACCCAGAACACATACAGTACCTACTCTCAAAAAGTAGACAGTCGCCCTGGCGACTCCGAAACCTCTTAAAAATTAAAGATAAACTCACGTGGAACAAGGTAGGTGAAGGTATGACAACAATTTTTGAGAACCGCTTTTTTATCTGAAAGCCCCCGTTAAAAGGGCTGACGCTTTATCTAGAGGCTGCTGCCAGAGACCAACCTAAAATTTACTTCCGCGGCGGTAGCAGCAGTGACAATTTTATTTTCAACCGGCCTCACAACATTCTTGATAGTCAAGGTCATCATCGGTTGAAACACGCGGTACAATTTTTTTTATCTAGGTATGCAATAATATGTGTATCTATCGAAGAACACTATGTGACTTTCGTTGGTGCTGAAGGAATAAGAATAATATGGCTTCGTCTCGGTTATTTTTTTCGCTCTACCATTTGGCTAGTTGACGAAATTTGATCAGAGGAAGACGATATTGAATTTGACACACAGCATAAGCGATTGTTTCGTAGACTAAGACTTCCTGAGTCGAGAAATAAATTAGATGCCAAGATTCCTATCAGTTTGACGTGAACAGACGATCTTTCAAGGTGATCCCAGCGCAGGGAAATAATGGCTTTTGATTTTGTAAACCTACAGGGTGTCCACAAAATAGTGAGAAAAAGTAATCTGTCCTCATAATATTATCGAGGGGTAAACCGCGGTGGAATTCTGGTGTACAAACAACTGGAATTCCTTGGATTTCCTTGGAATTCCTCAGATTTCCTTGTAATTCGCTGGAATTCCTTGACTGAAGTACGGTATATTCCTGGTCTACAAACAACTGGAATTCCTTGGATTTCCTTGGAAAACCCTGGAATTCCTTAGAGTTTCTTGGAATTCCTTGTGTGAAGTGCGATATAATTCTGGTCTACAAACAATTGGAATTCCTTGAGAAATTGAAGTTTGGTGTACACAATTTTGACCGAGGTTTACCCTTCGGATATTATGTAACGGCGAACCCTATTTGGCCCAGGTTAATCTTCCAAAGGTTCCAGTAGAATTCCAAAGATTCCCTCACTTTGTACTCCAGATTTGCAAGATGTCCACGAACATACAGTATAGGAAATCAATTTCAAGATTGAAAACTAAAAACGATGGTTGGAGTAAGTGCGAGTTGGTTGCGAACTTTCATGTCAAACTTTTTAAAATAAAACCTTCATTGTCACTCCAGAAAATCGATTGTTCATAAGATTTTGAAAATTTCACTCCGAGAATGTCACTTTTCAAATGTAGATATAATTTTCGGCGTTTAATGGGGTGATTATCCATATTTTCTAGACCTCAATTCAGTGTACCTACCTTCACTGATTACTGAAGAAATCTTCAGAAATCATCAGAAATGAATGTCAGTGTTAGTTTGGGCTTTTCGAATGGATAAGAAAATTAAGTCCTTTCCTTCAGCACTCTCTCCAAAACGATAATCGAGTTGACAAATTCATTTTCCCGTTCGAAATTAATTCGAACTGACACTTTACTTATGCGCTACTCAGGCATTTTCATTATAATACGTATAAACACTATTAGAATTTTCATCATGAATATTCACATGTGTATGGTTTCTCGTTAAATTATGTGGAGCTAAGATAAATACAGATCAAAATGATTTTCAACACCGGTAAAAGCAATACTGGAAGGCGCATGTTCAACTTTTCTGCGAAAACAAACCTACACCACGACTATGTGGTCAGATATCTGTGGTTTATATGGTTTGTATCTCTAATTAAAAATATCATTATATACCTATAGTATGTACGAAAACAGGACATTAAACTTTTTTGATATAAATAATTCTACATTATACCTTTTTTCAAACATTTGACTAAAAATCTCGCCAAATATTATAAAATTTCGTTTAGGTTCTCATGGCGATTGATTATCTAAAAAACGACTTGAAAGAAGAAACATGTTTTTATCTACTCACTGAATCGAAAGTAGCGTTTGCTCCCTCATTTGAGGAAACAAAGTTGTCAAAGGAAGGGAAAAAATATCAACTCCCAGGGGAAGTAAAATAAATTGGCTTCAGCATGCATCCTTTGGCGTCAATATACCTATGAAATCTGTGCAATCCAAGTACAATAATTATAAAACGAATAACAATAATATCCCTTTTGAATCCCAATGATATCATACGCTTCTTCATATTCCGAACGTACTTTTGATCAAAACTTTCAAATGGAGTTACAAAAATCAATTAATTGATGATGACAGAAGTGTCAAATTGACTTCCGTCCAAATGCCATGGCATACTGTGTTTGTAATGCGTCTGAAAGTTGATGTTCGATGGTAATGCATAATGATTTGGACCAAGAAATAGACCGCCTGAAGCACAATTTCAAGAATGATGCATTAAAAAAATGGGTTCGTTGATAAAATCATATTCATATCATGGGAGCAAAGGTTCATTTCCTCCCATGTGTGGAAATGGATACCATTCCTCTCTTGATATACAGTATGGTGGAAATGTATGGAATAAATTCATTATCTCTAACGCATATGAATTTGAAAAAAAATCCTGAGACAGGTCGATTTTTATTTTCAAATTGACACCTCTTGATATACATACGGAGTTTGTAACGTCATCCGCGTAGTTGTGATGACGTCATCGATTATTTTTTTAAATGGAAACATCCCCTTTTTATTTATTTTTTCAGAAAGTATATTCATTGTCTATCTAACCATATACTGATATTAGCAAAATAAAGTAATACAGGGTAAGAAAAAATTATTAATTATTTTATATTTACAACGGAAACCGTTACAATAAATGTTCGAATTGGTATTGCCTTCTGCAATGATACAATGTGATGACGATATACACTGTTTCTGATGTATACAGGTCGAATTTTTCATTCATTGTAATTGTTTCCGATATAATCATAAAATAATTAATAACTTTTTCTCACCCTTTATTACATTATTTTGCTAATATCAGTATATGGTTGGATAGACAATGAATATACCTTCCGAAAAAAATAATGAAAAGAGGATGTTTCCATTTAAAAAAATAATCGATGACCTCACCACAACTACGCGGATGACGTAACTAACTCCGTATGTATATCAAGAGTTGTCAATTTGAAAATAAAAATCGACCTGTCTCAGGATTTCTTTTTAAATTCATATGCGTTAGAGATAATGAATTTATTCCATACATTTCCACCACACTGTATAAATAGCTATTGAGGGAAATAAAGAAATTGCATAATCAAGAAACATAACATAACCTAACATTGATTTTCATTTTTCATATAGAAGAGGAGTAAAGATTCTTTTTAAGGCTATACGTCTGACTATATAATCAATTACTTCTTGTACTAACATGTTTTCTTCGAAGACGGAGGTATTCATCTCCCAATAATATTACCTACCTACATGTTCACCATGGTTGACCTACCAATAAAATAAAATATTATGACAACATTGATAACTCAAAACCGCTCAAAACGAAATAGGTTGAATTGGTTGAAACCCGAAATCGTATTGTCCTTGCGTTCAGGGAGGGGGGGGGGGACAGCGCACAAAGAAAGGGGTGTGTTGGAGTGTTCCCGACAAAATCGCTCACAAATTACAACCCCATCAAGCCACCGGAGGGTCGAATGCTCAACATTCCCCAAATGAATTAGTTATGTATCTAGGTGGAACTGATGAAAAAAAAAATGGCGGACAATCTGAAAACTACCCTTCCATTGTCTTTGTTTAGCCGGTATTTCAAAACACATTCCTCAGTATGTATAATATACCAACCCTTGATTCGATCCATAGGTGGTTATCATGTTGCTGAGATTATACTCAATGTACCCCTATACGGGGTTCGCGAAGATAACTATTTGTGCATTGTTTGGAGGTATCAGGTGGGCATTTGATTAATTGGAATTTGTCCTGAAATTTCGTTTGAAGTTGAAATTTTTGTTAAGATTTCCTCCTTTACAATCAATAGGTTAAGTACCCTACTAAAATTCAAAACTATCAATGATGAATATGTTGATATAGGTACTAATGGTGCACTGTGAATTTGTAATTCGGTACCTACTTAATTTGTGACCTTTTCTTGTACATGCAGCCGTTTCCGTGAAATCAGTAAACAAAACACGAAATTAGGAAGTTGTTAGGTCATGTCATAAAAATGGAAGTACCCCCTACCTATCTATCTAGCATCTAAAAATTGATACACACCTGCATGAAAAATGAATAAAATATAAAATGTCATTGCTATCAATGACATTTATTCGCCAATAAGTAGGTATACTCTGAAATGTCTCAAATTTATTCAACAGAAGCATTGAAAAATTTGAAAAAAAAAAAATAGGTAGATAATGTAGATATATCTAACTTGGTAGTGAGTGAGTAGGTTACCTATCTCAGTTGAAAGTTACTGTTTTTGTAGAATTGTAGACTCCGAGATCGTGAATTATGCCATCATATACCTACCTATAGATACATAGACCATAGACATACCTATAGATACATAAGAAACATGGAATTCCTTGCCAAAGGGAGTATTCCCAAGAACTTATAATCTCCAAAGCTTCCAATAGGTACCTAGGTACCTCCTCTCCCTATACGCACGATGTTCCCATCTCCGAACATCATGGGAATTTCCTTTCGTGCGCTCCAATAGATAAAAAAATGTGTCTTAATGGTACAGGGGTATTCAAATATACCTATAAAGACTCAACATACAATAGATATGTACCTAGTTCAATAGTGAGAGATTGATAATAATGAATTGTGGGGTCAGAACGAGGTCACATAGAGATTGAAAAATTGAGGAGAGTAGGTACCTATCTAATGAATTTAGCCAGTTGATTCGACCTAATTTTTATTTGAAGAGGTTTGGATGCTGCTGTAAAACATTGACGATGAATATGGTAGAAATCAGATTGTTCGCCCTTGGATACATTACATTCGTAGGTATAGGTACCAATAACTGGACTTACTTTGTCGTAGTCGAGAGTAACCGGTGGTAGCACGTCGTTGTCCTTCTGGCACAGGTAATCCGGGAAGAATCTAAGGCAATAGTTGTGGAAGCAAGCGTGACAATCTGCGGAGCATAAAGTACCACATTTACAACAACACGTCGCCTCACAAGTGCACAGCAAAGAGTGAAACGAGAGTATGCGAGCGCAACCACCGACCCCGTTGTCGCGAACCTGGGGCCCCTTGTGGTCCATATCCCCATCGGAGATGTTAGCAGCAATTGTGATAGCCTCGGCACTAGCAGCAGCAGCAGTCGCCGGCCGGCTGATCCCCCTCAGCATGTAGTTCTCAGCGTCGACCGGCAACACCGAAGAAGACAACTTCCCGTCGCTCCGCTTCAGCATCGTGTCCCCGCTATCGACGTCGATCGGGCTCATCTTACGCCATCGAAGGGGTTGCTTTCGCTTCCCTGTCTCGTGTGCAGTGCGGAACGCGCGCAATCACCCAACCAGCAGCCTACTTGCACTCGTTTCTTTCAGCGGAAGCGGACTGCCGAGTGCCGGCGATCCGGCAAACCGGCCCGACCCGCACGAACGGCTGATCGTTCGCGCAGGCGCTCGAGGTGGGGCTCGCCGATCGGGAATCGTGCCGTGGCCAGCCGCCGGTTCCCCGCTACCCGACAACCACGCTTACACCTTTGAGCTTCCAAGAGGCGGACGGCCGATCGAAAAGAAAAAACAGCGGAGGTCGGTCGATGGATATACGGAGTGGTTCAGTTTCAATTCGCCGAACGACAATTGCTCCTAAAATGGGTAAAATTGCATTTATCATGCAATGGTTTTTTTTCGAGAATTTTTTTAGTACTTACGTATTTTTGTCTGAAAAACACGAATATGATAATGAAAATGTGAACAAACCACTATTTATCGAGATATTTCGAGATAAAGTTCGAAATTTCGCCTTCTTTTTTCCTTTGTGTTGGATGCATTTACAGCTACTAGCTCTTCTTATTTTGTCATTAGACACTTTATATACTCATGATGTACTTCAATGATACATTTTTATATAGGAAATTCAACAGGACTGCCATTTATTCAATAGTCAATCTAAATACGTGATGTCAAATGTCAACAGATTGCTTTTGAATGACATTACACACGCCATAATTTTAAATGATATTCTTCCTTCTGTTCACTAAATATGAATAAATAACAAGAAAATCATATTTCTAGTTGAATCATATAATAGAAAAAGATGTGTGATATATATAAATTGTCCAATGATGAAAAAATAAGGACAAATTGTTCTAAATGCGATCCAGAAGACAGACGGAAAAGAAGGTGAAGATTATAACATTATAGTGAAATATCTCAATGAATAATGGTTTGTTCACATTTTCATTATCAAATTCGTGTTTTTCAAAGAAAAATACATCAGTACCAAAAAAAATTTCGAAAAAAAAAACATCGCATGATAAATGCAGTTTTACCCTGAAATGATCAATTCCTTATCGCCAAACAATGGAAATAGTACAGGGTGAATTAAATTTCAACACCCTGTATCTTGGAAACCAAGTATATATCCTTATTTGGATAATTCAAAATAGAATATTGTGAGGAATTACATCCTGAAGTTAACAATCTCAAAACCTCCAAATGAGAATCTAAACAGTATATTGGTATGACCCAAAATGAATACACGAATATCCTATGAATTACTGCAAATCAGTATATATTAAATAAGTTGTTTTAAAAGTTTTGCTATCTTTTGTTTTACTTGATCTTCATTAATTTCCCGAAATTGGTTTTGCTCAACAGCTTAATATTCATTAATCTCTACAAAACAAACTATATGTATTTAATACTAATATTATATTTACTACGTTGTCGGCCATAAGCATAAGCATAAACATTTTCCATGAGGCTACATGTAACTTTCTTGGACATTTCTCAGTATGATCTTTGAGTAATCAACTATAGTGATTCACACGAGACCAACGAGACGAGACTTTCATAAAGTCTCGTCTCGTCTCGCGGATGGAATATGAAGTCTTGTCTCGAGTCTCGTCTCGCACCCTCGAGTCTCGTCTTGTCTCGCGTCTCGTACGAGAGTCTCGCAAATGTATCGCATTTCGTCATGCATAATCTTGTTCCAGTCTAGTACGGGATATTTATCTTCACCTACTTTTTAGGTGTAATGTAGAAGTAGGAAGAGAAAATAACAACAAAAATAACATTTTTTGAGAAGGAACATTCTCAGATATATTTATGGACACAAAAAATGGATATACCGGGTGTCAACGAATCTATTAGACAAGTCATAACTTCTAGACCATTAGGTGTATAAAAATGAGATTTGGTATAGGTAAATGGTATGTGAAGAGGAGAGTTTTCACATATTTTTTACTTTCCGGTTACTTCCGGATTCACCGGAAATGGCTCCGGTTCTAAATTTGTAAAGGGAGCACCCTGTATATTGTAATATTTTTGGATTTCTGAGACAATTCTGGATCAAAATGCGACATGATCGGAAGTAAATTAATCTAAGGACCTCAGAAAATTACAATCGCGGGGTTTTAGTGATAAGTATGATAAGACAAGTTGGCAAAATGACATTTTCATGTCTAACTATTATTTTTCAAATGTCGACCATTTTTTGACAAGCACTTTCCGAAAAAAGGACAAGAGAAAAAACATAGCATTATATATTCGAAAGTTATAAAAATAAAATAAAATGTTTTGTCTATCTGTGCGAAATAGTCTGAATTCTTTCTAAATATGTTTTATTATAATATGAATGAAATTCTCAAGTCTGCAGTCGGCACGCAGAAATATTCACCTGCGAGACTCTCGCACGAGACACGAGAAGTCTTGCACGAGACTCGAGACGAGACCAATAAAAGTCTCGTCTCGTATTGTCCGAGTCTCGTCTCGAGTCTTGTCTCGAAAACGAGACGAGACCATGCGAGACTCTCGAAAACGAGACTCTCGCGGGCACCACTAATCAACTACAATACCTGGAGCATTTATTTATTGACATGTTTGTTAATGTATTCATCGTGAATACTGTGAAAAAAATTAATGGGTTCACTGGAGAGTTCAAAATGGTTTATTTGTCAATTTAAAATTACTGGATTCACTCGAAGTTCAGCTCTAATATACCTAATATACTTCGTAATATACCTCAATAGATACTCAGTTTGCCACAACGTAAATACATTTTTCTCCTATAAGATTTACAAGTTCAACAAAATCCCCAATGGGTCAGAAAGAATAAAATAAAAATTCACGCACAGCTTTGTTTGTCCCCCGATTAACTGATAAAAACTACGAATGCGTCCTGTTACGTCAGGTTACATTGCTCAGATTGCTCTATTCTCCTCTGTATACGAAATGTTATAAATGTACATCATATGGAATAACTAGAATGAAATGAAATATAGCACTCATAGTAATTAATGAGAACAAAAGGTTGTATGTATGGCGAAAACGAAGCATTTTCGGACTTATATTTATGGAACCTTTTCTTATTATTTTGATCATTACTAGAGCTTATCGAAGTTCGACAGATAAAAACTGAAACACCCTGTATTATAATCATTTTTCACTTATTTTTCAACATTCAGAGTGTGCTACACTCATTTTCATTCGATTTTTAATGAACAAACAGTCCGTGCCTGAACTCTGAATTACTGTATTTTGGTTTGATTACACCAATCACAACATACATAATAAGATGAGTTTGGTAAAAAGACTTGAATGGCTATAAATCTGATAAAAAATTAGAGGAGAACTTTCAGTGCCGAAAGACTGTGACCTTAGTTTCTTAATTTTGGTATTCAAGCAACACACTGCACTAAAAAGTGTTACATTACCTACATGATGAACAAAAATTTTTGGACACACTAATGCTTCTACAATCAAAAAAAAATTATATATATAAGGGGTCATAGACCCACGAGCCTAGGGTATTGTGTAATAGAGGTAGTTTGACTATATCCGCCTCGTGTGATCCAAGATATCCAACTTGCCCGAAACAGCGCACCACACAGACACGAGCAACACAGATCCAACGTTGCCAAATACCAAGGTACATAAGTGTTCATACCGATTTCATCGAAAACTTTCGACTGCACAAAACTCACCAAGTATTGATTGATGAATTGATTGGCTCATGATGACATGATGACTATTGAATTCATCATAATTAACAAATCATCACTGATTGATATCTAGGTATACCTACCTAGATTGGTAAGAACATTAGTTAATTCCGAAGCTCTAGGAATTACTTCGTTCACTGACCTATTTTTCATCACTGATAAGATTTCCATGTTCGATTTCAAGCTGCATTTATGTTCAGTTTGGTTTCTGAACAAATTTTCAGATAGTGGGTACATCTACATCACGTAAAAATATCTCACCCGCAACTGATGATCCCGATATATTTAAAACCTAACCTAAGCGGTCATCAAAAATTCAGAGACGGACTCTAAATTGAGTAATCACCTATTTCTTTTCACTTATTTCTTGAAATGGAGAAAAGGTTTGCATTAAGCGACATTTTGTGCTACTTCGAAGTACAAATCCATGCGTGTCGATATGACAACACCGCGTGTAGCTGCATAGGCCGTTTCCATAAGCCGAAAACGATACCTCTCTCTACCAGCTACCGTTTTCGTTTCTTGAATAATCTCCTCCACCCGGGTAATCTACTCGGGCTAAGAACTTCAACAAATCCATTCCGTACACCATCTGAGATTCTCCTATGGCAATGGAGACACCACAGCAAGCTCATTTTAATTAGCGATCAAACAACGTTGCCAAGTTTGCCACATGAAATTGTCAGATACCTAGGATAGGATAGGATAGGAGTGATTCATTTTTGTATCTACTAACTGCATCGAATGTAAGCGTTTGCTCCCTCCCACGGGAGGAAAACAAATATTTCTTCCCGTGGAAGGTAAAATAAATTGGCTTCAAGTTGTTCCTTGGTAAAGATATACCCTGTACTCCTAGTACCTAGTCCAAGTAGACTATTTGAAATTTCAATTTATTTAGTGATCCTATACATCTACAGTGTTATTCATAAAGTCGGCATCATATGGAAAAGACTTCCAATTGATCGCTGAAAATAGGCTCATTTGTTTGAATTTCATAATAGTTTACTGAGAAAAATTGTTTTCATTCCAATTTAACACGAAATGTCTGTAATATTGAAAAAAATTAACATCGACAAAACTATTCCATTCTAGTAGCTTCATCATGCTACTAACTTTCAATCACTAATTAATTATCAACAAAAATTTGATTTTCTTCAAAATTTAATAATCTCCGCTTCAAATTTCTGTTATGTTACTTATGTTTGATAAAAACTTGTCCATTTGAATGTTTCAGATGCTTCTCTAATCGGTCAGTCACTCGAAATAGTATAATTGTGTTGAAAGATCCAATGTAGATAAGATCGATACTAAAATATAATAGAGTTAACAAAAAATTAAAAATAAACTCAAGTTAAAGTTCAATAGTTATGAAGCGAACTGTCTACTACACTGCTTAACCACTAACCAAACCGATTTTTTAAACGCCTCGACACGTGTTTCCCTAACTATGTTAACATCTTCAGGAGAACATTAATATAACGAACTGTCTAGTTCATCAATTTTTGTTATCCTAGTAGGCCGATGAAAATTCGTTCAATGAGAATACTTAGTTTGATGAGAAAGAACTTCTGGAATAGTATAGGTATAACTTGGGAGGAAGAAAATCACCGTTTTCAATAATTTTACGATTTTTTAAAATCTTATCATTTCTCATAATTTGCCTAGTCGAGTGGAGTTTCAAATCAAGTTGATTTATTGGCAACACAGAAAATACCTATCAAGTTCTGAATCTGAATCGATGCCAAATTTTCAGTTATTTCTCATCATGTTTGAAATGAATGAGTCCTAACAAAAAATACATCCAGGATTTGCTTGAATCTTTAGTGGCTTCAACAATAACCATTTCACGAAAATCTACGATTTCAATTTATTTTCGTGGTTCGTCGATAATTTTCTTCGCATCGGCAACGCAGCGAACCAACCATCGAATGGTGTGACGAATGACCTTGATTTACACACGCGGTCGTTCCGAGACAATGTTGCCACGTTGATCCAGATCGTCATGGTCGAACGTCAAGGTAATCAAATGAGTTCCGAAAGACATAATTATAATGATATATGATATAATATGATATAGTATTATAGCGAAATTTTAATCACGAAAGGGATTATCAGAGAGTGGTCTTGGAGAAGATTTCCCTGGGTGTGTATAATCTGCGGACTGGACTAAAATGCTGCGGACTGGCTATTTCCAGCAAACAAATCGTTGTTTTTATTGCATAAGGATTCAGCTCATCGAACTACACGTTGAAAAGTTGATGAAACTTTTCCCTAGCCCCCCTGGGGGCAAGTGAAATCACATCAATTTTCTCAAGAATCAATTTATCTCATGAAAATACACGACGAAAAGTTTACGAAATTTATTCCTAGCCCCCTTGGGAGCACTTTACTCGTGTGTTATTTCATATAAACTTGCGGACTAGGTACTTTTGCAAGTCAAACCATCTCAATTTTCTCAGAAATCGAATTATCTTATGAAAAGTTTTTGACATTTTTCCCTATCCCCCTGCTTTTGAATTGAGATGATTTGACTTGCAAAAATAACCAGCCCATAAGATTTTATGAAAAAACACACGAGAGGGGGGCTACGGAAGAATTTCAAGAACTTTTCATCGTGTATTTTTATGAGATAAATTGATTTTTGAGAAAATTGAGATGATTTGACTTGCAAAAATACCCATTCCGCAGGTTTTTGAGAAAAAACACACGAATAAAGTGCTCCCCAGGAGGGATAGGAAAAGATTTTGAAAACATTCATCGTGTATTTTCATGACATGAATCAATTTTCTAGTAAATTGGGATGATTTGATTTGCAAAAATACCCAGTCCGCAAGGTTTTATGAAAAAACTCGAGAAAAGTGCCCTCCAGGGGGGCTAGGGAAAAATTTCAAAAACTTTTCATGTTGTATTTTCATGAGATGAATTGATTTTTACCCAGGGAAAAGTTTTAAAAACTTTTCATCGTGTATTTTCATGACATGAATCAATTTTTGAGTAAATTGAGATGATTTGATTTGCAAAAATACCCATTCCGCAGGTTTTTGAGAAAAAACACACGAATAAAGTGCTCCCCAGGAGGGATAGGAAAAGATTTTGAAAACATTCATCGTGTATTTTCATGACATGAATCAATTTTTGAGTAAATTGAGATGATTTGATTTGCAAAAATACCCAGTCCGCAAGATTTTTGAAAAAACTCGAGTAAAGTGCCCTCCAGGGGGGCTATGGAAAAATTTCAAAAACTTTTCATGTTGTATTTCCATGAGATGAATCGATATTTGATTAAATTGAGATGATTTGACTTGCAAAAATACCCAATCCGCAAGATTATATAAAAATACGCACGAGTAAAGTGCTCCCCAGATATTCAATAAAAACAACAATTTGTTTGCTGAAAATAGACATTCCGCAGCATTTTATTCTGGTCCACTAATTATACACACCCGATTTCCTCCACCGCAAAAAAAATGAATCAAGAGGAAAAAATAGGTAAATAGGTACAGGGGCTAGTTTCATTAATGTAAACCCCTCTTTATCTTTTTTGTTTTCCACCTATCCAAAAAATTTTGAGAATGATTTTATTCAATTATTTCTCATACAGGTTCCAATCATAGTGACAGTGTTGCAGTATCTCTTCAGATATACAGGGTATACAGAAATATTTATATTTTTTATAGATAGATAGATAGATAGATATAAATCCCTTATATCATAATAATATATTTGAAATCAAGATGAGTTGAGGAATTCAAATCTATCAAAATACACAGCGCATTCCATTTAAAAAAAATGTTTTCTATATACCCTGTATATTTGAAATTGTATGAAATCAGCTTTAAATTTTTTTTAATGCGTGAAAAACAAAAAAGACAACGGGAGTTCACATTAATAAAACTAGCCCTGTACATAGATTATAGGTCGGTCGAGAGGTCGGTATCTGACGATATCTGATCTTATAAAAATCTGGTTGTAGGAATTTGTGCAAATGAGATAGTTGGTCCAGTATATGTAAGAATATACAGGGTGTTCCATTTGAAAAAGGAAAGTTGCTTGCATTTGTAGAAAAACCGGAAGTCCGTCATTTTGGATTTACCCTGTGTCGACCGGTATAACAGTTGCGGACGCCTATGCCCATTTAATATCCAATGGACAAGCTGACAATGATAATTATTCTGTCATGTAGCCAGAGAATATTGTTTGAGGGAAATCAGATGGCGAAAAATAGTGCCAAAACACAAACCATTTATCAAACAGTTGCCAAGTACTATATTTCGTGAGGATTACCAAACACGATATTATGTCCTCCTACAACTCCAAACTACGCACATACTCTCGTTTCAATCCTCCATGATTATTTCCTGTCATATACAGGAAGAACCAAATAATCTCCAAAAGTTCAAAAAAAATTCCAATACCTACCTCCTGTCCCTATCCTCCCTAGGAACGCACGATGTTCTTTGAACATTATAGGGATTCCCTGAATAGTTGTCTGAACTCACAACTCAAATATTTTCTTTGTTTTTATTGTCTTACCAAGTCATATTGGTGAAATTGAAATGTATCACAATCGTACAAGAGTAGTTATTGGGTCTTCCTGTATAAAATTGTCAGTAAAAACTTAAGGCACTATAATACAAGAGTGCAGCTAGATTGACTCAATTATGTCCAAGGTTACATTTGGTACCTATTTGAAATATCATTGTGATAAATTCCAAAACATTCATGGCGATACTAAAAATAATTGATAGGAAAAAGTTTAATTGCGTGATTATTTTAATGGTCAAGCGAAAAAATTGATTGATATTTCTGGTGAACAAAAAAAAGGATATCCTATTGAGAATGACTCAACAGCCTATAAATATATATATACTTTTTAAAGGAAGACCCATTAAGAATGACTGTACATCCAATTAGGAGAGTATGAACTTAAAATGTGTGTTTGAGTAAATTCGAAATTGTAGTAATTGACGAAAAAGTATTTTTTCTGTGACGGGAAAAAAATTAACATTTATTTTCATCTCTGTGACAGGTTACAAAATATCGCTTTTCATATAATTACTTTTTTCTGTGACGGGAAAAAAGTTTGGCATTTCATCCCTGTTGGCAGGTTATAAAATGTCACTTTTCATAAATTACTTTTTTCCCGTGAAAGAACTGCAAGTCCTTTTATCTTCAATTCGACTTCGCGGTTACGTATATTGCTAAATAACCACTGAATTCGAAATTTCTTGAAATCAAATCACAAAATTAGACTGACAGAAGTGACATCAGATATTTGATTACTTCAAATGAATGATAAAGATGCCTACAACGCGGTGTCCCTACTGTTAAAAACTTTCAATTTCACATCAATGATTTTCTGATTTTAATAAATTGTAATATTTTATCAATATCAAATCGTCGTTTTTCCTGTCACAGAAAAAAAAAGTGTACTATACAAGGGATAAATATTAGATTTTTTCCCTTGTATACTAAATAACTATTTCTGTCTAGTGATTTAAATAACAAAAAACACATGCCACTAACCTTTGCATTTCATTCCAACATGACCCTGGCCCCAAATGTAGTCTTTGCCTATAAATAAGAGAATCGTTTTAAAAGAAATTTGTTTGTTTAATCTATAGTGGTCGAAATATATCTTGAATACAGGTTGAGTCAGCTTTGTACAGCATAACTTGAAATAAACATCATCGCGGAAAAAAAATCAGATGTTCGATAGATTGTTGTGTTCAAGAAATACATAGAATGGGAAAGTATATTTCAAATGAATACCAACCCTACAAATTCACATTGGGAGTTTTTTCTACTTTTATTCTTTGTAGAGGGCCATGTTAAAATGGCTTTTCCACTTCATGTGCGTTCGTTTTCTTTGTCATTGTCACAAAGCAAAATATTATCCTTAGACACTAATAAGAAATTTCGTTCATTCCAATGCAGTAGTAGACATGATAAAACTCACTCACCACATAACATATCTAAACACTTGTGAATTATTGAGAAGCACTCCGAATAAAAAATGTAAATTTCATGTTCAGTTGCAGTGCAAACCTAGACTCAGCCGTATTAGATCATTTCAACTGATATAGTATCTACAGTTATCACACCTCACACCTTCAAAAGATAACTGATAAAAAAAAGTTAGTTCTGATGATACGGTATAGGCGGTTTTTGGTCGGTTCGAGCAACTAGCAATATGTATCCAACCTACTTTGGACCGCTTCTAGACCATCCAGTACATCTTATGGTGGACAAAGTAAAATTTTAAGAGTTTCTTCAGTTAAAAAAAAGCTTGAAAATTCAAAACATTCAATATTCACGGTAGGATACGAGTTTCTTGATTAAAAAAAATAATTATTTATATTTGTAAGGTGTTGATGTGTATTCAATTAAATTCGTTTTTGTGATGTCTAGCTAAAGCATATAGGCAAAATATTTCAAATATTCAATTATCTGTCACATGTTTCATGCATCTGGCATTTATTTTTAATGCCTGCAATCATAAAACAATCCAGACACCCTGAATATTCAAAACTTCGTATATAAAATAATTTCATAAAAGAAGTTTTTTTTGGGTTGGTATCTTGTTCAGAGCTCACATTCTCAATCTCATGTAAACCTGTCATGATAAATGTTTATCTTTTTGATAAATATTTGCAGAAGTTAGAAGATCTACTCACTATCTGATTCCTGTTAGATATATCCCTCCAAGCAGTCTACACTCTATACCTAACAATTTGATGACTTCATCATAATGAATAATTATAGTACCGAGCAGCTTCAGAGAAAATGTTGAAATATAATTTGGAATATTCAATAACTAAACCTTTGAAGATGAATCGTAAACTTTTCTGATAAGAGAAAAAAATTGATGGAAAGTTTTGAACTGGAATATTGCGAGAGAATAAATAGCATATTTGTAACAGCAATAATTAACTAAGAATATTTTCATTCAACCTATAGATAGATAAGGGTTTTTACCTGAAAAAATTCAAGTGAATTTTTGGTAATTCATCAACTTCTAGGAGGGGAGGTTTGAACTCCCCCATATATACCAACAAGCAACATTTAATTTTCAATTGTTCACTTAAAAATTTCAAACGTATGACTCACAATGGATATTCGACTGTCCCAGTGAGAACAATGCTTGTTTTTTGTAAATATGCATAAGGTGTTCAATAATAATTATTGCATGACCTAATGTAGGTCGTGCGAGTGATAGCTGATAAATGAAAAGTTTGCATAATTATGTCAGGTGATACAAAGAAATACGAGCAGTTAATAATCGCTATAAGCAGAAATATTGCACCATCCTTGAAATTTAAAAAAAAGAAAACTGTGAATTTGCAGTATGTTGCAAATCATCAAAACACTATCAAGGTGCTATTATACTGCTCAAAACTCAATGATTAGATCTTTCATTGGTTTCACGTTAAACCATTTTTCACTTGGAAAGGGTTAGATCTTTTGTGCTTATTGTTGGTTGCAAATGCTGTCAAATTTAGTATCATTTTTATAGAATGCATTGTTTTTTGTCATTGTGAATTAGATGTAAAAAAATATTTCCACAATAATCAACAAATCAACACTATCAGAGATACCAGAGTGGATGATAGGTTCAACACTTCTGAATAAAAAAAGGGAGCTGTTTTTACATGGAAGAATACAGCAGCACCAATTGTTAAATATCATTTTCATTTTTGATCTCTGTAAATACATATATGATTTTTGTGTGTTCTTGTGATTATCAGGACAAACCAGTTTGGTTTCTATATTTAATCAACCCCAGTTGATTGTTATCAATACTTTTCCTTGAATCATTTCATGATCACTAGACATTATCATTGTTATTTATTCAGTTTATCATATGTGTTTTCCATTTTCAGTATTATGTAAATGACATGGATTTATCTACCTCTATTTTCCTCTCTCTTTAAGATAGACTGATAGAGGATACAATTATTGAAATAAAATGAAACCAACAGCATATGGACGGAGGTAATTTTTCGTTTTATTTTAGAACTCATAAGGGATTATCAACATAAAATATGTCCTTATTTGATTTGGTTTCAAAATACAGTATGTTGAAAATGAAAATTCTTACTACCGCTGAATGAAAATTGAAGATATTCTTGTTAATCAGGAAGTGTTTAGAGAACAATGAATTAGTAGCATGATCAGTTGATGCTAATTCCATTGGAGCCGTTAAGGCTTTCCTGTATATCAATTTGGTAGCCTGGGTTATATTTTTTATGTGAGAGAACATGAAAAAAATCAATTGATATTTCTAACTTGAACTTCCCTACATATTGAAAAGAACAGCAAATTAGGACAGCCAAGATATTACCTCTTTCAATATGTACATACATTACATCCATGTCACCATGATTGTGGATTAATCTTGACTTTGATACAGTAGCACATTGAAAGTTCCAATTTGGAGTTATTCCCCAATGCAAGTTGATTATAACTTGATTAGGTTAATTGATTTGAAACTGTTAATCCTGGATTTTAAAATGCATATTTCCAATTTGATTGTTGTTTGCCAAATTGGATGTGTTTACTTTAGTCTCAATTGAAAATTAAAACCTGAAAAGGTATGAAATTATATTTCTACTATCAAATTATTGCTATTTTCAATATAGCAAAATCCCGAGATTCACAAAATTTTAAAGTAGTAAGTTGTGACATATTACCTAGATAAAAGTAGCACATAGCAATTAAGTGATTTTTCTATATGATAATTTCATTGTAGGAATTAGAATGCCTTTCAAAACAATTTAATTAAGAGTTATTTTTTGAAATTATAGATTAAAGGAACAAATACCATTCAATTTTCGAGAATATTTCAGTTCAAATCATTCCACAAAGTAATGATCTACTGAATATTATTACAACCAGATATCCCACCAAATTTTGGACACACTCTATACTGATCCATCAAAACATTCAAATCTCAATTTTGAACTGAAACATTTGGGAAGACCACTGCTTATGTCTGACCTAACCTGATCATCATGCTGTAAGGAATCAAATTGCCTCTACTGATATTTACAACACACTCTGGCAACATAATAGATCTAAAAATAGATGAATTATTAGCAAAGTATGGTATATTGATGGTATACATTTTCATGAAAGGTTGAGCAGTTGAACCCTAAAAAGATGATATTATTCATAGAAAGCTATTATAATTCAATGGAATTACTTGAATCTCTTCAAAAATGTAATAAACAATAATGATTATGAGACATCAAAGCCATATTTGAACTGAATCTATCTTTTCAAACTGTTTTATGAATATGGAGAGATAATGTCATCATGAGATTATACAGTACTTACTAATAGAATTCAAATTACTGAATAAATTATAGATTAATTGATATTTATTCATGATAAGCCATATTGCATAGGTTCACAATTCTCCAATCTAGTATTTTTAGAATATCCAGCTTTACTATAAAAAATTAGGATAGGTATGGGAGATCTAGATTAAATCATACATTATTTACCTAATTTTATGAAACTCAAATGTTGCCTTGTATATCAGAAACCACTACTCACATTTACCCAATTAATGCATCAGTATCACAATGCATCTGGATTATTGTGAAAGGAATTGCTTGAATGAAAATTAGCTTCATCTTCTGAATGATTAGTATTAGTACAACAAATTTATATAGAATTAGAAATTCAGAAACTATAATTACTAATTAGTATGTTTTTAAATACTGTCTGTTTTTATCAAGGTTTTCATCTTCCTGAAACCCCTCAGGGCCCTATCTCTGTTATTACTAATTCATTATGGACTTACAGTGTTTGCAAAGGATTGGTGTTAGGAAGAAGGCATTCTCTAGCTTGTGCTCTGGTTTGCTCTCCATTTCTGGAAAAAAAAAAGTAATATTGAATACTGTAAGTGAAAATCAATTTTCACAGCCAAGATAAATCAATGTTTCAAAAGTGGATTTGAGATATGACATGACTGCAAGGTGAAAAATCCAATATAACATATTACCCAATTTGATTTCTGACACTTCCACACCACATGCTGATGGATGGTGAATGGTTTTTCCTACCTCTGATCCCAGTAACTTAACATATTCCACTAAAATAAAACAAAAATTACATTAGATATCACACATAGAACTAATGAGTCATGAGGTCACAAACATTGACAATAGTGGACTAAAATTCACAGGATATTATATAAAATCTCCTATCAAATAGAAAACATAATGATCAGTTTACATGCATTTAATTGTACAAGAAAGTAGGTACCTGGTATGTATCCTACACCCCTGGTTCTACGACTATAAGCAAACAACCAGCCTGGCCTATCAGACTGGTTTCTTTCAAAAAGACTCTGAATGGATATCTCGAATACATCTCCTTTTTGAAATTCCAGCTCATCTTCCACAGACGGTGTAAACGATTTGATCGCTTGGTACAATTCATAGTCCCCCATCTCAAGCTACCACATAATTTCAACATCACTGTGTTCAGGATGTGAAATTCTCATGATCCATTGAATCAAATAAAACCAAATACTAAATGAGGGAAATAAAACGTCCAAAAATCACAATTCATCATTCCTTTATAAAGCAGTCCTGTCCCTGTTCACTAATCAGACATCAAGAAATCACAAAAATTAGAATTCCGAATATTCTGTTACCTGGTAGTGACTAATATCAAAAACCCACTTTTCTATTGAGATAAAGTATAATTGATTCTTCTGAGATATCCATAATTGATAATAAATCCTAGGTAAGAAACCTTGCTGAATGTTTTTTGCAGGATATTAACATTAACCCACTTTCAACCCCAAATGCATTCAACGATCTCTCAAACAAAACACTAGAAATATTAAATATGGCGACCGAAAAGACAAATAATATATATGTCAAAATAATGATGTCAAAATTATCGAGCTGTCAAAGTCGAATCATTATTACCAACATATTTTATCCTTTGTTTAACTGACTAGGATACCGACTGCAGGCAGAAAAGTGAACACGCATGCTTCCGTTCCGTCGTATTCCGTTATGTATCAAGTGATGACCAATGTCTGACAATGACGTTTGGGAATGGTTCGAAAACTTTAGGCTCTCGTAGATCTTTGCAGTTTTCCATAAATGCGAAATGTTTCCATTTGGTTTCCATTCGGTCGTTCGAATGATTCGAATATTTTGAATGTTGACTTTCTATACATCTATCTTTGAATAGACGAGGACAAGACGTCGAGGAATTATAAACATCTCAGTTGCGATATTTGATGGCGAGACAAGTATTCGAATTCTTCAGTAAGAATCGAATACAACCGAGTGCGAGTACTTAAGAGAGAATCGGTACTCGAGTACCCCATCATGTTTGGTTTCAATGAACTCGAACAACTTGGTTTATGTCAAGGTGGATAGAATATGGTGTAATCACATTTAGTGTTTTGTTTCTCACAAAACGCTTGACCACAGATTCCGCAATAATGGCATATTAGTTCTCAGTTGTCCGCAAGAAAGCGACACTTTTTACAGATTTCTTTCATGACAGAAAACAGAAAACGACGCTTACACACCGAATAAAAATATCATAACATTCATAACATAACCTCAAATCGGATGAGATTAAATTTGAAAGTACGAAAATAATATGATTATGGGAAATTTTAATTATCCTCAGTTCTACCAACCTTGAAATTTGGTTGAGATTTCGCCATCTAAAGGGTGAAATGCAACCTATATTCAGTGATATTGAAAAGAATCCTTCTGCAGTAGACGGGATTTGATAGGAGTTTTTACACCATCTTCTGTTCATCATGGTTTATGTTTTATGTGCATAGAGTGTGAAATTGGCACCGCAAGGAGTCAGCAGAAAACCAAGAAAAACAAATAAGAAGAAGAAGAAGAAGTGGCTAACCTCACTCCTCAGCTCATCTGAATCATATTCTGAATCTGCCTCTCAATATTCAACAATCAACAATCTCAATTCAACAGACTCCACTCAAGCAAATAGAGTCTCCAGCAAATAACAGTGAAATGCAATTCATCTGATGGCAAATGGCTTGCTTCTGGTCTCATCAAAACGAAACAAAAATAGAAATACCATCCACTGAAGAAATTAGTAATGTTATATATTATAAAATCAGAGTATATGTTGGAGTTTACACCTGGACAGTAAACCACAGATATAGTGAATTCTTTGACCTCAATAGTCAACTTGTCATTGATCATGGAGTGTCCAAGGATATTTTACCCTCAAAGAGAGTGATAGGTAACAAGTGCCCCATATTCATTGAAAGTCGAAAAATGGGTCTCCAAGAATACTTACAGAAAACATTGATATTTCTTAAGAGAACAATGCCTAAAATTTTCGTAGACTTCCTGCATTTCAACTTGTATGATATATACTTTTTACTCCAAGATTTGTCATCAAAGCTTTTCTTAGAAGCTGATTTTATTCTGTCCTCCAACAAGCCTTATCAGTTCAAAACTCTGGAAGTATGAAGTTTGGCATTAATGCATTCACCATTATTTAAATGATTTAATTTTTAGTTGCATGCTATAAGTCAATTCCTCAAAAAACCTCTACTAGATAGTACTGAAATTAGGTTAGATATTGGTCCAGTTTTAGACTTCTGCTCACAACTGAAGTCTATAAGTGTCATTGGGGGTTCCAGTGCATATTTAGATAGCAACATCATTTTCAGTATGCTACCTTTTGAACTCTCATCATTCAAGGTGATTTGAAAAATCATGATATACTAAACATTCATGAAGGTGTATGTTTATTGCAGGAACTCAAGAGCTTATCAATGAAACAAGTAAATTTTGAAGTAATTTTTTCACTAGGAAATCTGAGGAATACTATTGAGAATTTGCAAGTGAACAATACATCTATTTCAAGCATTTCTCAGGTTTTACAGTGTGATGTCATACACAAACATAATCTGGAAGGTAGTGAGGTGAGTCTACATTTGAAAACATGAATACCTATAATTGAAATTGTATTTTTTAGAAATGGACTGTGCTTGAATATCTTGACTTGGGCAACAATAATTTAACAGATATTGACATGACTATCAGATTAGCACCAAAACTGAAGAACATATCTCTGGTTGATAATAAAATATCAACAATTACTAATCTTTCCCATTTGCCCCATTTATCTCATTTGAGTCTTGCTAATAATTTGATGACAATTTGTAATGATTTACACACAAAAATAGGGAACATACTGAGTGTAAACTTGTCCCAGAATAGTTTGACTTCCTGTATAGGTTTCAGTAAGTTATATTCCTTGGAAACTCTTGATTTGAGTTGCAATAAAATAACAGAGATTGAAGAAATAGCCCATATAGGTGATTTGCCGTGTTTAGAGAATTTATTATTGACAGGAAATAGTGTAGCTACTACAGTTGATTATAGAGTGAAAGTGTTGGAATATTTTGGTGATAAAGCAAAAAATATCTGTTTGGATAATGAGAAACCCTCACAAGCTGAATTAGATAAAGTTTCAGTCTTAAGAGCATTGAGAATTGTTAGAGAGGGCAAAACACCCGATTTTGTGGCCTAAAAATACTCCACCTATTATGGATTAGATTTTTAATTATTTTCATAACCAAGAAAAGGAAATAGCTTTATTAATATGGCTTTAAAAGTAGTGTTTTATATTTCTACGATTTTGAGATTTCATAAGTATATAATACTTATATAATAATGATATTGTATATTGAAATTTATTTATTATGAAATGTTGAAAAATATATTACCTATTTCAAAAAGTATTTTTATTATTGAATGACACGGTAGAATACCAAGATCAGTACTTCTCATGGTTAGGAAAAATGCCGAAAATTGTTGGAGATCTCAGGAAATATTGAAATCGAATATCAACGAATATTTCCAATTAGTTCTTAATATTTACTTTTACTACTATGCATAATCATCTATAGTCAAACGCATAGTACTTATGAATTTTCATGATTTGATTGAGTTTTAATCTTCTCCTGAAGATGCTAACATAGTTAGCGAAACACGTGTCGAGGCGTTAAAAAATCAGTTTGGTTAGTGGTAAAGCAGTGTAGTGTATTATCGTGCCAAAGGTTCCAGTCTTCGATATACCGATTGATATATCGACCATAAAATGTTGCTATGAATTTGTTGCACTAGTGAGGTGAAACTGAATTATAATTGAATAAATGAGCAAAGCTCAAAGTCATTTCCACAAATTTTCATAAATGAACGAAACTGGTAGATAACGAGAGAAAACCAACTACTTTCCTGGCTATATGCCACGCAGAACATTGAATTACATCATCCCGATATCTATGAAACGGTTCTTATAGACCAATAAAATCGCAAGTGTGTCTTCCCTAAAAGCTCAATTGTGCTTGAATTGTTCAGGAACGCTGGACCACCTACTGAACGGTTTCGAGCTTCAGGCTCTCATCAGTGCAATAATTCGCGTGGATTTTCGCCGTTTTCTGGCACTTTCGGCCGTCCGAAGATTGCTCGGTGACTATATCGTACTGAAGTCTCAGGTGAGAAAATGAAAATTTTTATTTGGCTCATAAAGAATCTGGAAAAATCTACATAGACCAATTCGATGTCGTAATGAACGAATCTGTGGTCGAAATCGGGAAATTTTGGAAAATGGAGACGTAGTAGCCACCGGAGGGCTCCTATTGGCAATAAAAGCGCAAAGCTGACTTTGAGCGTCGATATCTCGAAAACTATTTGTCCTATCGGGCTGTTCATGGTCTCATTCGATTCAACGTGTGATTTTCTACTGGAAGGGCGATAATTCGCGTGAATTATCGCCGTTTTCTAGCACTTTCGGCCGTCCCAAGATGGCTCGGTGACTATTTCGTACTGAAGTCTCAGGTGTGATAAAAAGAAAATTTTAATTTGGCTTATCAAAAATCTGAAAATATCCACATAGACTAATTCGGTGTCGTAATTAACGAATCTGTGGTGGAAATCTGGAAATTTCATAAAATGAAGACGTAGTAGCCTACCGGAGTGCTCCTATTGGCAATAAAAGCGGACAGCTGACTTTGAGCGTCGATATCTCGAAAACTATTTGTCCTATCGGGCTGATCATGGTCTCATTCGATTCAGCGTGTCATTTTCTAATGGAAAAGCGATATTTTGTGTGGATTTTTGCCGTTTACTGGCACTTTCGGCAGTCCGAAGATGGCTCGGTGACTATATCGTACTGAAGTCTCAGGTGAGAAAATCAAAATTTTTATTTGGCTCATAAAAAATCTGAAAAAATCCACATAGACCAATTCGATGTCGTAATGAACGAGACTGTGGTCGGAATCGGGAAATTTTGGAAAAAGGAGACGTAGTATAGCCTTACGGAGTGCTCCTATTGGCAATAAAAGCGGAAAGCTGACTTTGGTTCGGTGACTATATCGTACTAAAGTCTCAGGTGAGAAAATGAAAATTTTAATTTGGCTTATCAAAAATCTGAAAATAACAACATAGACTAATTCGATGTCGTAATGAACGAATCTGTGGTGGAAGTCTGGGAATTTTGGAAAATGGAGACGTAGGAGTGCTCCTATTGGCAATAAAAGCGGAAAGCTGACTTTGAGCGTCTATATCTCGAAAACTATTTGTCCTATCGGGCTGTTCATGGTCTCATTCTATTCTACGTGTCATTTTCTACTGGCGAAGCAATAATTCGCGTGAGTTATCGCCGTTTTCTAGCACTTTCGGCCGTCTCAAGATGGCTCGGTGACTATATCGTACTGGAGTCTCAGGTGAGAAAATAAAAATTTTAATTTGGCTTATCAAAAATCTGAAAATATCCACATAGACCAATTCGATGTCGTTATGAACGGATCTGTGGTCGAAATCGGGAAATTGTGGAAAATGGAGACGTAGTAGCCTACCGGAGTGATCCTATTGCAATAAAAGCGGAAAGCTGACTTAGAGCGTTAATATCTCAAGATCTATTTGTCCTATAGGGCTGATCATGGTCCCATTCGATTCAGCGTGTCATTTTCTACTGGAAAAGCGATAATTCGCGTGGATTTCCGCCGTTTTCTAGCACTTCTGGCCGTCCGAAGATGTCTCGGTGACTATATCGTACTGAAGTCTCAGGTGAGAAAATGAAAATTTCAATTTGCCTTATCAAAAATCTGAAAAAGTCACATAGACTAATTCGATGTCGTTATGAACGAATCTGTGGTGAAAATCTAGAAATTTTGGAAAATTAAGACGTAGTAGCCTACCGGCATGCTCCTTTTGGCAATAAAAGCGAAGAGCTGACTTTGAGCACCGATATCTCGAAAACTATTTGTCCTATCAGGCTGATCATGGTCTCATTCGATTCAGCGTGTCATTTTCTACTGAAAAAGCGATATTTCGCGTGGATTTTCGCCGTTTTCTGGCACTTTCCGCCGTACGAAGATGGCTCGGTGACTATATCGTACTGAAGTCTCAGGTGAGAAAATGAAAATTTTAATTTGCCTTATCAAATATCTGAAAAAATTCACATATACTAATTCGATGTCGTTATGAACGAATCTGTGGTGAAAATCGGGAAATTTTGGAAAATTAAGACGTAGTAGCCTACCGGAATGCTCCTATTGGCAATAAAAGCGAAGAGCTGACTTTGAGCACCAATATCTCGGAAACTATTTGTCCTATCAGGCTGATCATGATCTCATTTGATTCAGCGTGTCATTCTCTACTGGAGGAGCGATAATTCTCGTGGATTTTTGCCGTTTTCTGGCACTTTTGGCCGTCCGAAGATAGCTCGGTGACTATATCGTACTGAAGTCTCAGGTGAGAAAATCAAAATTTCAATTTGGCTTATCAAAAATCTGAAAATATCCACATAGACTGATTCGATGTCGTAAAGAACGAATGTGTGGTCAAAATCTGGAAATTTTATAACATGAAGACGTAGTAGCCTACCGGAGTGCTCCTATTGGCAATAAAAGCGGACAGCTGACTTTGAGCGTCGATATCTCAAAAACTATTCGTCCTATCGGGCTGTTCATGGTCTCATTCGATTCAACGTGTCATTTTCTACTGGAATGGCGATAATTCGCGTGAATTATCGGTGTTTTTTAGCACTTTCGGTCGTCCCAAGATGGCTCGGTGACTATATCGTACTGAAGTCTCAGGTGAGAAAATGAAAATTTTAATTTGGCTTATCAAAAATCTGAAAATAACAACATAGACTAATTCGATGCCGTAATGAACGAATCTGTGGTGGAAATCTGGAAATTTTGGAAAATGGAGACGTAGGAGTTCTCCTTTTGGCAATAAAAGCGGAAAGCTGACTTTGAGCGTCTATATCTCGAAAACTATTTGTCCTATCGGGCTGTTCATGGTCTCATTCTATTCTACGTGTCATTTTTTACTGGCAAAGCGATAATTCGCGTGAGTTATCGCCGTTTTCTAGCACTTTCGGCCGTCTCAAGATGGCTCGGTGACTATATCGTACTGGAGTCTCAGGTGAGAAAATAAAAATTTTAATTTGGCTTATCAAAAATCTGAAAATATCCACATAGACCAATTCGATGTCGTTATGAACGAATCTGTGGTGGAAATCAGAAAATTTTGGAGAATGGAGACGTAGTAGCCTACCGGAGTGATCCTATTGGCAATAAAAGCGGAAAGCTGACTAAGAGCGTTGATATCTCAAGATCTATTTGTCCTATCGGGCTGATCATGGTCCCATTCGATTCAGCGTGTCATTTTCTACTGGAAAAGCGATAATTCGCGTGGATTTCCGCCGTTTTCTAGCACTTCTGGCCGTCCGAAGATGTCTCGGTGACTATATCGTACTGAAGTCTCAGGTGAGAAAATGAAAATTTTCATTTGGCCTATTGAGAATCTGAAAAAATTCACATAGACCAATTCGATGTCGTGATGAACGAATCTGTGGTGTAAATCAGAAAATTTTGGAGAATGGAGACGTAGTAGCCTACCGGAATGCTCCTATTGGCAATAAAAGCGAAGAGCTGACTTTGAGCACCGATATCTCGGAAACTATTTGTCCTATCAGGCTGATCATGGTCTCATTTGATTCAGCGTGTCATTCTCTACTGGAAGAGCGATGATTCTCGTGGATTCTTGCCGTTTTCTGGAACTTTCGGCCGTCCGAAGATGGCTCGGTGACTATATCGTACTGAAGTCTCAGGTGAGAAAATCAAAATTTTCATTTGGCTCATAAAAAATCTGAAAAAATCCAAATAGACCAATTCGATGTCGTAATGAACGAATCTGTGGTTGAAACCGGGAAATTTTGGAAAATGAAGACGTATTAGCCTACCGGAATGCTTCAATTTATTCGAATGAAAAATGGTAACTCAACAGTTGAATTTGAACCGGCAAGGAACATGTGTGATGTATCAAATGTAATTTTATAATATACATCTAGGTATCCCACAAATGTGATTATCAATAATAATTCAGAGTTATAAGTTGATACGAAACAAATTGTATTTCATCAGGAATTAGAAATTTGACCAAAAGTCCGCATTTAAGTTGAGATTATCGTTTCAAATGACCCTGTATAATATTCCATGTACCCACCCCGTGTAATTCATCATTCATTATCATTATTAGTCATAGATAAATACTTGTTTCGGGAATTGATAGGATTGAAGGGTGACGCAACTAATTAGTCATTCGAGACGAGGTGGTGAATCTTGTCAGTCTTATGTTAGATGTCATCGAGTACGGTTCGTATCAGTTTCAAGCAAGAATCTAGTGCATATCGCGAAATAGTATACAGGGTTTTTCACGATGAAGGTTAAAACTAGTCGACATTGTGAGTGTATGGAATCACGTCCGGTACCCTTACGAGGGGAGTGTATCAACTTTGGCGTTCGTAATGCCTCTCTACAAAGGAGGGTGTCGCCTTTAAGAGTTAGGTATGAACAGTGGCTTTATACCAGTTTTTTCCAAATTATTTTTGCACTTCAGGAATGCAACAGTCCTTATTTCATTGAAGCTGTGCTCTATGGAGTAGACCCATGTTTTCTTTAGAAAATGTGAATCATAATGAATAATATATTGCGCAATTAGGGAAGCATAAGACTAATCTCAGTTTTTTTTTCAGGATATATACCAGAAGCAATTTTACCTTTGGTATAGATATCCCAGCATTTCAGAACCAGTACCCACAAGAACTCTGTATTTGTTTGTGACACATCACTTAGGAGCTCAACATCTGTCAGACAGATTAACGGAGTATGGAGATTTCCAAGATAAGTTTTCATGAACATTAAATTCAAATAGAGATCATATTTCTATTCTTCTCCGAACATTTCTTCATGAAATACGACTTATCGATAATTCAATCGAACCGTCGAAAAATTAGTCGACATTGTGAGTGTATGGAATCACGTTCGGTACCCTTACGAGGGGAGTGTATCAACTTTGGCGTTCGTAATGCCTCTCTACAAAGGAGGGTGTCGCCTTTAAGAGTTAGGTATAAACAGTGGTTTCATACCAGTTTTTTCCAAATTATTTTTGCACTTCAGGAATGCAACAGTCGTTATATTAATGAAGCTGTGCTCTAAGAAGAAGACTCATGATTTCTTCAGAAAATGTGAATCATGATGAATAATATATTGTGCAATTAGAGAAGCATATAATACTAATCTGAGGTTTTTTTCAGGATATACCAGAAGCAATCTAAACTATGGCAGATATCCCAGTATTTCAGTACCCTTACGAGGGGAGTGTATCAACTTTGGCGTTCGTAATGCCTCTCTACAAAGGAGGGTGTCGCCTTTAAGAGTTAGGTATAAACAGTGGTTTTATACCAGTTTTTTCCAAATTATTTGTGCACTTTAGGAAAGCAACAGCCGTTATTTCAATGAAGCTGTGCTTTATGAAGTAGACCCATGTTTTCTTTAGAAAATGTGAATTATAATGAATAATATATTGCGCAATTAGAGAAACACAGATGTGGCTGGAACATACATATTTTTCTAGTTATTGTTTTCTTCTCATATCATAATTTCCTATTAAAATCTATTCTTTCTGTTGAATTTTGTTTGATTCCAGATTACTCCTGAAGCAGAATGAGTCGCAAGAATCCATATTTGAGATTGATTTTTTATTTACTGTTGTTCGGTGACTGTTGATCTCTAACAGTTAAAATGACTTCATTTCTGTAAAAAAATTTGAACCGATAGTTCATCGATAATATCAAAAAACAATCGATTACATCGATAGTACAAAACTATCGATACCATCGATAGTGCAATCGATAGTTTTCCAACTCTAAAGGTGACAACATGACAAAATACTCCTTAACCTAAAAGACTCAAAAGTCACAAGAGGGAAAACAAGTTGAAAAGTTGTTTTAATGTTCATGTTTGGAAATGTTAAATGATAACAATCTCTCTGAAAATTGTAAGCTGATAGTACAATAAAAAAGATGCCGGTGAGTCGGTTGGACGTAGTGTACAGGAAATTTCTCCTAACGAAGTTTTTCACAAAAGGATGGGGTTCGCCGGAGCACTTACAAAGGTAAAATAGTGGCAATGATACCTCACAACACTCACTGCTCTCACCCCGAAATTATTTTACAGACTATTCGATTTTCGGCAGATTATTTCTAATAGGGATTCCTGTTATCAGTTGGTGCCAAAACATTATCCAATTACCATACTGAATGTAAGTAACTCATCCCCAAATCCAATAAAGTGTTGATATATCTTCTTTACTTCCTCAGGAGGTTAAAAGATCTGACTGTCGAATACTGGAAGGCAAATTCCATAGCCCATTGACATTGTATCTACCAGGATTGGTCCCAGAAGAAGTGCAAGACTCTTATTTTCAAATGGTGCTGCCGTTGGAGTGGAAAAACTCTCACAAACCCATGTGTATTCATTTAGCAGGAACTGGTGATCATGTAAGGTGAACAATCAATGTCACCAAATAGATAATATGTATTAAATTTGAAAAATTTTAGTATTTCTGGCGAAGAAGAAACATCATGGCAAAACCTCTACTAAAAGAGGGGATAGGAGCTATTATTTTAGAGAATCCATATTATGGACTTAGAAAACCCAAAGATCAAGTAAGATCCAGCTTACATTTTGTTTCTGATATATTTGTGATGGGTGGTTGTCTAATACTGGAATGTCTGGTGCTACTCAATTGGTGTGAACAACTAGGATTTGGCCCACTGGGAGTCACAGGAATCTCAATGGGTGGACATGTGAGTATTTATAAGGGTATCTAGTTTAGTTTGCAATTTTCTGTTACAGCTCTAACACTACTTTTCTCCTTTTTTTATAAATGATTCATTTATTTTTTTCTTAGATGGCTTCACTAGCAGCATCAAATTGGCCAAGGCCCTTAGTACTAGTGCCTTGCTTATCATGGTCATCTGCCTCTTCTGTTTTCACAGAGGTGAACTACATCATATTCACATTCTTAGTTAACTTTCATCAGTTTTTTTGTAGGGTGTTATGAGTGATTCCATAGACTGGGACATGTTACAAGCACAGTATGAAAACAATAAATCCTACTGTGATAATCTCTCTAAAATATGTAGAATAGTTGACAATCCTTTTGCATCTGATCTCAGTAAACCTACAGGTATTCAGACTTGCATACATCTGTGAAATATTGAACTGATCACTATCTTAGAGAGAATTTACAAAATGGATAATGCACTTGTCATTTAGTTATAACCATCTATACTGCTGAAAATATGAAATGACCTAGGAATTGGCCAGATGAATGTGCTTGTCTATTTGAAATTCCTACTCCATGTAAAAAGGTTGAACTGATTCCTTCTAAATTTTTATATGCATCACCTGTCCTAGAAGTGTTGATTTCTCACTTCATTTTTTCAGCAATATAATTATTTATTGGTCTGTGCATGTTCTCAATTACTTTCAATTTTATTAAAGAGGGAGCCATAGAATTATCAAATCTGGACCAATCTGACATATCCAACATAACCCCACATGAGCTGATGAACTTCATGAACTGCAGTAGTTTTTCTGGTGTAATTCTCAAACCCTTGGACAAAAAAAAGGAACTACAACCTGCTGGGGAATTTTCCCTGGCAAATATCTTCAAGGACAAGCCTCCACTTGCTTTGAACAAAAAAGTAAACCAGATGAAGACAAGGGATAAAGAAGCCTTGTGGTTTATGAGAGGGATGATGGATGAATGCACTCATTTGAAGAACTTTTCAGTGCCCTATGATACATCCCTGATCATTAATATTTGTGCCAAGGCTGACGGTTATGTTCCTAGAGGTGGGCTGACAGGTTTGGAAGACATTTGGCCTGGAGCTATGGTTAAATATGTAGACTGTGGGCATGTTGGAGCATATATTTGGCATCGAAAAATATTCAGGTAAATATTTCTCACTTGTTTGATTATTCTGTGGTTCATATTTTTATTCATTGCAGGGAAGCTATCATTGAGGCTTTCAATAGGGCAAAACTAAAAATAGGACCTCCCTCTCCTTCAGTTTATGAGATTTGATAATGCTCAGTTTTGTAATAATAATTACAAATTTTACCAAAGTGCCTTGAAAATTGTTAATTCAACTTGTTTCTTCTTGTTATTCAATTTGTTAAATGAATTGTTGAAAGTTTATAAATTAGAAATGCCTATATGCTTTTGTTATGTTCACACATAATATATGTATGTGGTTGAGTGGAATTATGTCCACAAAGCCAAAAAAAAGTTGTGATATTGTCTCAATAGCAAGTTGTGTATTAATAGAGACTGTTTATTGTTTTCCTGGGTTTTACTGTTTTTGTTCATATTATATTTAACCAGTTTTGTCATTGTTATTGATTTTCAAGATAGACTTGGTTTTGCTGATTTCTATCAAGTGTGTGACAGTGTGACAGATTATTGGAAAAACTGCACATATGAGGGTTTCTACCTGCCTATAAAATCATTTCAACACTTATTTGTAGTTGTTTCAGCCTCTGCATACTAATAAGCAATATTAATGGTTTTTTACTCACCACTGGGATTCAGGTAAACTTGGCATGACAGTATCAGGGATTATTTTTAATAAAGTTATAATTTCGTGATAAATACTTCCACTCACATGGCAACAAATATCTGTATTTGCTCAAATTACCTATTTCACATTTGAATATTTCAATTGTATGCGCCATCTTGTAGATGTATCAATTGTTTTTACGTTGGTAGTCTGGTGCGCCTACTATGTCACGAAAATTCAATTCAAAAATGATTTCTACAATTAGAAGTGAGATGTTCATTAGTCTCTAGATGGTGATAATATTTCAATTTCCAGTCTACTGACAACGAATAATAGGTTAGTCATCCTACTAGTGCTGATAGTGTATTTTGATCTAATTTCTAATAAAATTCGAAAATGAAAAATTGCAAATCTCATCTCTACCAACCTTGGAAAAAATCAGTATCTGTTTCGCCATCTAGCGGAAAAATGGTTTCAGTGACGTACAATCTATTATTCTTTGGTCAATTCTTTGGTACGTGATTCGTCACACGTCATCAGTCGTGACTCGTGAACAGAGACCACCATAGAGATAACTGCAGGGTTGCCATCTTAGTGGTTCTGTCGCTAAATCTAGGGTTTTTAGGGCATGAATTCACATTGAAACATTCGAGACGAAGAGATAAGCAGAGAAGAGGATGACAGGGGGTTAATTTTCATAATTTTTGCCACTTGAATAATATTTTTTATATTCCATATGCTTTAAAATATTATATGATGCTTGTGAAGATTTTGTTTTTCTTGAATCAGTATTGAAACGTATGTAAAACTTATAGGAACCAATGTGACTTATAGCAATGAAGTCGCAAATCTGTATGATCTCGATCTAGAAATAGGAGTTTGTTTTTTTATAATGCTTTTTTTATTCTGAACAGATGATATAAATTAACTAAAAATGAGGAAATATGATCAGAAATGCTTCTAGATCCCGGAAAAAAGTCACCTACTTATAAGTCGGTGAAAAAAGACGCTAAATTTTGAAAAATATCGCCTGCGGCGGTTGGCTTTGCTCGCTATGGCTACTTCTAGCAGTTTTTTTCGTATCTTTTTGCGACATTTCATGTTCAGCAGCTGGCAACTGGCAACACTGAAGATTAGAGACAGAGACTGTCAATTCTTTGGTCAAGTCGTAATCACGTCACGTTAGTCACGTACGCCAATCGCCAGAACGCCACGGTTTGTGGATGTATGTACGTCATAAGGGAATCAACGTTCGTCTAAAATTCCGCGTAAATAGCTAAAAAGTTGAAAGGAGTTGTGCGTTATAAAATATTAATAATTAGTATTGCATTTGCATTGAACTTGAGTGATTTGCGACATGTCATCTTCGAAATCAAGCGTAGATGATCTTCTTGGAGGTGAGTTTTTATTGTTGTTTGTTTACTTTTATCCATCTGGGACTGGGATGATAAGTCAGTTTCATCGTAACTTTAATAATAATTATTTGACAATTCCTGTGTATAATAATACAATGTTCACATTTAGAAAATATGATTCGTCATCAGATAACAAAAAACTCATTAACATTTATAATTTCCGCCTTCTGGCAAATCGATTTGAACCAGAAATTGGTTTGTTTACCTTACATCTTGTGCTCATTTAACAAAGCAAATGAGGAGGATGAACTCGCTTTGTGTCATTGCATATCTCAGAAATGAACCACTTTCATGGTTGTTCAACTACAACAATACATCTTTTGTTGTCTCAAGATATATTTAGATTCTTTTTTTACATAATTAATATTACTACTACCATAGATTCTATTACAATGTGGTAGGTGGTTTCAGTTGCGATATCATTTATAGTTCTCTCTATACCTATCCTACGCCTGGTTTGTTATTTACAATTTAACAAACAAGTTTTCAGACATAAATATGTATGTTTTGTAGGATGGTAAATAGTAGAGGACATCCAAAACAATGTATCACACTCGTCTGAATGATCAGAAATCTCGTTTTGATTACCTACTCTTACCAATTTGCTTTGTTTGAATCACAGTTCTGCATACACTTTAGGTAACAACGGGTAATAACGAGGGTAATAACTACTGTTTCCACATGTGATTTTTCATTGAAAGATCATCTACCTCGAATTTTCATTTCCATTACTCAATTCAACTCTTTGACTATAATCATAATTATTTTGTATTTTGTTGGGTACTCTGACTACTCTGTACTGAATGACGGTACCTATAACCAAAATAAAAGTTTCAAGGTTTCATCATATACCCAACAATTTATTAATATTCATGGATAGGAGTTTATCATTACATCTTACATCATACATTCTCTTAGAAATACTCTAATCACTCATACTAAATTAGCAGAACATGCAGATAATTAAGATCATGAAAATTTGAACCCCAGCTGCATCTCAATTACTTGGTTAGACTTGATTTTGTATGAAATGAAAATTGCATTCATAACCATTGAAATATTGATTTTCACTTGTTGAATCAACAAGGCCTCCTCCTTTCTCTGTGCCTTTGTGATACCCTTTGTTATTGCATCTAATGATAGTTTGGTATACATTTTTTGAGATGATGGCTATCTTGTGATAATTATGTCTACTAAACTAATCATATTATTTTCTATTTGGAATGACATTGTAACTTCTACCTGACTTTTTCAATAGGAAATTTGATAATGTAATCCAACCTTTTTAAGAAGTGGAAGGCCAGACATTGATATGCTATGCTGATCAGTCTGCAGTCTCCCTATCAAATTGATTCACAAAGTGAACATCCATTTACCTACAAACCTCCCATTTAATGCCCAGTTTTATTATTCAGTTTGTAAAATTAATTGTTAATCCTGACCAAGCAAGTAGATAAATGTTTTGTAGAATCATGGGTAGATGTCGGCTCAGGTTCAACTTGCGGTTCCCAAGGAGGTGGTACCCCAGGGTCCATAACCCATACTCTGTCAGTTGAAGACTACCTCCGCTTGCTGAAAGAGGCACAGGAATCTAACGCTTCATCAGCTAGAGTGTCTCTAGCAGGATCCAGAAGAGATTCTCCAAGAAGCAGTCCCAAATCGCCCCCAAACAGCCCCGTACAGGGCGCCCCCATGAATCTTGAATGGCAGTCTTATTACATGAACTCTGAAGCTAAAGAGGTCAGTATAGAGTTCTCTAATTATCATGATATAATAGGTTTTCTTGCACATTTTTAGCATGGTTACATCTTTTTGATAATTTGGACTGCCGTTTCCAGAATTTTTATCGTTGTTTGCCGTGGTACTGGGTGATTCACCATAAATGTCCCCCCTCCAGCTCACTTATTTTTGAACCGATTTAAAAATTTGAAAAATTATCTAAAATGATTTTTCCGAAAATTTTTCCCCTTGCATCAGAAAATACAGAGTGCTCGGAACAAACGATCTACAGAGTACTACTTGATTTTTTCAAATGGAACCCCCTGTATTTCATTGTATTTTTAGATTCTCCCTGAAGAGCTGATTTCACAAATCTATCACACTTGGGGTCTAGCGGGAATGATTAAAGAGTAGTGTGTTCAAAATCGAAGTTTTTCAACTTTAGGATTTTTTTGTGTCGAAACTTCATTATTGGTCAAAACGACTTTAATGTCCCTATCTCAACTTTTGATTTACTATCTATTGACATTTCATTGGAACATAATACAGTGTGGTTCAAGATTCAGAATTCTGATCACCCTGTATCTGTTCCAATTATCAAATGTCAGTAGATAGTAAATCAAAAGTTAAGACACGGACATGAAAGCCGTTTTGACCGATAATGAATAGTTTCATCACAGAAAAATCCTAAAGTTGAAAAATCTCGATTTTGAACACCCTATATCTCTGTAATCATTTTCGCTAGACCCCAAGTGTGATGCATTGATGAAATCAGCTCTTCAGGGAGAATCTAAAAATACAATGAAAAATAGGGTGTTCTATTAAAAAAAATCAAATAGTACCCTGTAGATCGTTTGTTCCGAGCACCTTGTATTTTCTGATGTAGCGGAAAAAAACTCTATCGAAAATCATTCTAGATGATATTTAAAATTTTGCAATTGGTTCAAAAATAACTGAGCTAGAGGCGGGGGGGCGGGACATTTATGGCGAATCACCCTGTACATACAGGCAGTCTTAAAAAAAGCGCCGCTAGCTCTACTACGCCTTCTTTCATCCGATTTCAAAAATTAAAAAAGAATATGTAATGGTTTCAAAAACACTATAAACTGGTGCCATTGTCATGTTCACCACTGTCAACTACATAATAACTGAACACTTTTATTGACACAACAAAAATCAAGGTTTGGGATGTTGAAAATCAGAATTGCTACCTTATCATTAGGATAAAATAAGAACAAGTTGATACAACGTCAGAAAAAAAAAATGACTTCTTCAGAAATATGCAAATTGTTTTTAAAAATGTCACAAAATCCATTTGAATGATATCTCAGATCATCTTGTAGATTAAGTTTCATTCTGTAACTAATATTGTAGAATAACCCAATTTCAGTACCTATTGATTTCACAAATGAAGGTTTTGATTCATTGGGAAATCTGACATTGAATTGATACAATCAATAAATGTAAATGTTCACTAGCAAAAAACTCCAGAAAAAACTGCATGGAAGAATTCCTTTTAGACAATTTGCTAGATTATCTGATGTATAATATTATTGAGATTTTACGTTTTTGGGGCCATTTCACAGTGAGACATGAGTCTGAGAAACTATGCCTTCAAGGTTTATCATTGGGAATATTTAATTGTTATT